CAAACTAATACAACCCTTTTGGAAGAATGTATGGAGAACCCTCAAAGAACTCAAACTAGACCTCCCATTTGATCTTGTAATCCCATTACTGGGCAGCTACCAAGAAGAAAAAAAATCATTTAACCATTAGGACATTTGCACTAGACTGTTTACTGCAGCTCACTTTACAATTGCCAAATTGTGGGAACAACCTAAATGCCCACTAATCCAGGAATGGATTAACAAGCTGTGGTACATGTATACAGCCACTAAAAACAATGGTGACTTTACATCTTTTGTATTAATTTGGATGGAGTTGAAATACATTCTTCTTAGTAAAGCATCAGAAGAATGGAGAAGCAAGAATCCAATGACTCAATTCTGATTTGAGGACAATTGATGCTAGTACATGGTGGGGAGAAGTGGAATGGGAAAGAGGAGAGAGGTAAGGAGGAAGGGAGGTGTGGGGCCAACCGTGTGTGACACACTTCTTGGGGGCAGGACACTATTAATAGAGGGACTTCACCCAGCAAACACAAGCAGTTTAACCTGCTGCACTGTACCCTCAATGATTCCCTAACAATAAAAAAACAAAAAGTTGGGTGTTAAAAATTTACAAAGTTAGTAAAATAAGAAAACAATAAGGATTATACTGCATACAGAGTGATAGATTTGAAACTTGGTTTAAAATACAAATAATGCATAATGTAACTCTTTATATGCACATAATTACTGGGACTTCCTGTCAGTATCTATTGATTATTATTTACATTAGATTTAATATTGTTATTTTAAGATGTGTACTCCATTTTAAGTATGATTTTCCCTTCCTCCAGATGCTCCGATTGGAGTTTCCAAATGTTAAAACGGGCACTAAAACTTGTGAAGGGAAGCACATTAGGATGAAATAACTATTTGCTTTTAAATCCTTTTTTTACACATAAATAAAAAGCAGCTTGTTATAGAATAATTTTAGATTTGCAGGAAAGTTAAAAGGATATAATATATATAGAGAGAGACACTTCTCGTTGCTTTTCTCTAATCTTACATTTCATTTGTCAAGACTAAGAAATCAACACTGGTGCATTACTACTAACTAAACTCCAGTCTTTATCTAGATTTCACTTAGATCTGTTCCAGGACACCATATGCCATTTGGTCTATGTACACTATACTTTTTTTTGTTTAAATGTTTTGGAAAAGAAAGAACTGATTTTTAATTTTTAAAGGCCATCTCAAAAAAGAAAAGTAAAATCTAGGAAAATTTCTGTAACATTCATTTCTATGGCTACTATTTGAGGCAAAAGATTCCATGTTAGGAGCTGCTGGGATTTCCAGTTGTTTCTACTGGATTTAGCTACTTGGCTATTCTCAGGGCTTAAAATATGTACATTTCTCTTAGGGAAATGGGGAGTAAAACCACTAAGAAGATAAAATACGGGTAAAGCCTAAGTTTTGCTGTTGAAAACTTATTTCTACTATACTGTTAATTATTTTTCTTGGAAATAATTCGTTGGCATGAAGGTAATTTTTAAAAAGATTATTAACTTCTCTTTTGAGGAACTTTTTTTGCACACCCACCCTTCTTCCTACCCATTGCAAGTTCTAAAGGGCTGCCTTTTTCCATACTCTAAAAATCCTCCTTAATGTTATCATTTAGCAGCTATGAATCTCTTGCCATTCTAACAATGATTCAAGGCTCACCAGCATCTCTCAGAAGCTTGTTAAAAATGCAGAATCATGAGTGGCACCTGTGGCTCAGTGGGTAGGGCGCTGGCTCCATATACCGAGGGTGGCGGGTTCAAACCCAGCCCCAGCCAAACTCCAACAAAAAATAGTCAGGCGTTGTGGCAGGTGCCTGTAGTCCCAACTACTTGGGAGAGAATCACCTAAGCCCAAGAGCCAGAGGTTGCTGTGAGCTGTGACGCTACATGACTCTGTCTTAAAAAAAAAAAAGCAGAATCATGGGCCCAGTTCATAGCCAGTGAATCAAAATCTGTATTTCAATAAGAGCCCAGGTAATTTATGTGCATATTAAAGAACTATGGACCACAGCTAAGAAGGAATAGACTGAAATTCCCCTGCATCCTTTCAATTTATACTTTCTAATCTCTTTAGGATATTTTTTCAGGTAAGAGAGGGTTGGGTAGCAAATATGGGAGAAGGGAATCAATAGTGGACTTTCCTTAAAAATAACACTTTGACATAGAAAAAGGAAATCTATGACCAAGTCTCCTTATTTTTTTGTGAAAAGATGTTCAACTTCAAGAATAGGGGTGCTATTTTTGAAGTCCTAGGCTGGTCAGGTGTCCATGTTAATTGTACTGAAAAAAATACAACAGGCCAGTGTGGTATTACTCCCCAACATTGAACAGTGAAGGTGAAAGAAACAGAGGAAGGGTGACACCTCTAATGGATAAGGGGTTGATAATTTCATCACTTCTTAAAAACATCCCAAGAATATATAGCTTGAATAAAAGTAACATTGTGATCATCTCCTAAACATTTGTATCTAAGTATCACATACACAATTATAAATTATTTGATTTCAATTATCAAGTAGCACTGCTCACCTCTCAAAATGCTTTTAAAATTAAAGAGAAACATTTCCTCTTAAATATCTTTTATTAATTTTTACATACTTATTAAAAACATACAGATCCATCACTCTCACTACTGGGTATATATCCAAAAGAAATAAAATCAGCATGGCTAACAGATACCTGCATACCCATGTTGACAGCAACATTATTTACAATAGCCAAGATACATAACCAATCTGAGTGTCCACCCATGAGCTAATAAAGAAAATGTGGTATATGTACACCATGAAATACTATTCAGCCTTAAAAAAAAAA